ATGGTCGGTACAAAACTATTGCAATGCGAATCTTGTGAATTTATTGGCCCGTACATAACCACACTTGAGCACATGATATTAAGTCATAATCGTCATGTAAGTGGTGTAATTTGTCAATGGTGCAAACAAACGGAGCTTCGAACACATGAACAATTTCATACACTGGAGAATTGCTACGTGAACTATGCATCGGAAAAAAACATTTCGAATTATCGTTGTGCCGATGTCATTGAAAAGTTTTATAATTTAATGAGTAATATTGCAAACAGGCTGGGAGTACGAATTACACGAGCTGAAAGGTTCAAAGCATGTGATATTCACACTAAAGAAATCGTTACTATTGTAATTGACGACGATAAGGAGTATGATACCAGAAGCTATAACGGAAGTCCTGATATGACTGCATTCAGAGCATCAAAGAAAACCATCGATCTGGACGTGCTCGAGAACCTGTTTAGTGAAGCAATGTTCTTTTTCAATATATCAAATGAATGTGACACAATGATTCCGCTTACACTCAATGATGACAGCGATCATCCCGATTATATTACGGCAAGAGCATATTACAGCGATCATTCGTCAACAAATACACCATCACCACAACAATACAATCCATCGCAAATGGCACCACAAGCCGTACACCAGGCAATGCAACGACAAATGCCATTACAGCAAATCCATCACCAACTAAACACATTAATTCAGACAACGACACAGTCCGGACAGCAATCAATACAAGAGCCGATCTCACAGCCACTGCACCAACCGATTTCTAATCAACCGATGCAAGGTGCACATCCAATCCGAACGATGCAATCATTACAAATACCAAGTTATATGCTTACACCACCAATTCAGGTAAACGACAATCTAACACCGCCGATCAACCAAGCCAGTGGAATGCATGCAATGAATATGATGAACAACGATCTCAATAAAAATGGAAGCCAACAAATGAATGGAAATTCTGATGAAATGGTTAAATTTGCTAATTTAATTTCGGCCACACTTAATAGTATGAATAGCGAGTCGTTGAAGCAAAGAGCCAAATTTCAAATTCACCAATTGTTGTTGCAGTTGTCTGCTGAAGACCTGAACATGTCCTATCGCAGCTAAAAAAATGTTTTAGATCTCAAATAAATATACACTTTCCATAGAATATTTTTATTTTTTATCGGTAGATCCATTGATTTGATAGTTAATTTTAATGTTTGATGAAAGAAAATAGAATAAAAGTTTGAATTACGACATAATTACTAATATAAATTGGGCTTAGTACTCAAAATTTCGCAACCTCGTATTTTTTATGATCAATACCTCTGTACAAGATGTGTACTTTACTGTACAACATTTTTTTCCGAAGTGTACAAAGAATTTTTTTTATGAATTGGAATATATTTCAATAAAATGTATGAACCTTTTTCGATTTAATTTTTGCCATTTTCTTGAATAATTTTAATTAAATTTCAATTTTAGATTGATTTCGGAACGAATTTGATTTGCAAAACAATAAAAGAAAAAGGTAAGAATATGAGTAAGCCTTTTAAGCCGTGAGTCGAGTCTTTATGGAAAAGTATTCTTCATTGTTTTGTAACTTGAAATGCGGCGATACACTGTTTACTTCTGAATAAATGGAAAACCACACTCTTTGTATCTGTCACTTGTGAAAAGAACACTCTTTTGTATACATTATATGGAAGCCGATCAGTGGCAGTGAAAAAATCATTTTACAACGTTTGCTAGTGACAAAAGTCAATATTTACATCAAAGAGAGTGTTTTCATATTTTCTTATCACAGCGACGTTTTAATGTGTTAAAAAGAGACAACATATGAAATCGGCTGAAACACAGTCTTATTGAGCCAATCTAAAAATGGAATGATTCTAATTATTATTAACTGGTGAACTCGTATTTGTGATAACTAAATTGCTGTCGTGTTGTGTTTTGTTGAAGAATTACAGTTTTATCTATATTCAAAAGCACTTACGTCAGACTGTTCAAACCGATATGGACCTACAATACAAAATGGTGGTGATCAATATCACAATCTCATGATCAAAATTTGGGTTTTCAATTTAAAATTTTAAAATCCACAACTCCTGAACGAAGTACCATTTATGGATCTTATGTTGTTTGAGACATGACAAAAAGTCGAAGTTGGATTTAGAACATTAAAAAAAATTCATCCAAACATTTATTGAATCAAGCAATAAAGAGAGTAATGTATTCGCTCACATCTGGCCCTCAGTTAAATAAATAGAAAAATTTTAAATCAGATATTAGCTGCAAATTGTTCGAAAATATTGAACCTTTCGGAAATGGCATGGAAAAGGCAATAAATTCAAATGTGCACAAAAGTAATCAGCCTAATTTATGTCATTCCCATGTTTGTAGCCAATTTGTGCAGCATATGGTAGATGACAATACATTACCACATAACAATAGCGAAAGCATAGAATCAAATGTGGAATAAAGAATAAAAAGAAATGGGCGGCAAAGGTAAAATGACAATTTAGTAAGGTGAATAAGGGTATTAACGTGTGTTTTAAATTGATATTACCCTAGGGGCCCGGAAGTATTTTTTATTCGTGAAAAACCATACATTTGAGTAGTGTACAATAACTTCACTTTCTGTGAATATTCGTGAATAAAATCGTTATTCCTGATTATTGTAAATACGCAAAATGGCGGAAGTCATGACATGAGCTGGAAGTCTGTCTTGACTCACTTTGGGTCAGGTCGGATCCACCTACTCCACAAGATCCACTACTCAAAATATCCCCGTATGATATCGTATGAGAGTGAGCGCTAATTTTCGTTATTTTACTCGATTTCCCGTCGGAAAAGCGAGAAAAATCGATTTGAAGATTTTTCCAGTTTTCATTATATAAATAAACTGTGAGAGAAATGCGTGAGATGATAGTTGAACGTTGAAATACAGTTTCAAGTTGTTTCATAAACTTATTTTTAACAGTGAAATTTTAGAACAGTATCTTATTTATAAGCTTAGTGATCAGAGCTCGGGTTCGATGTGAACTGGCCCTACATCAAATTAACGCTTATATTTATACCGAATTTTTGGTTGTAATTTTGATACCTCCACTCCAAATTATTACATTGTATTTTTGGTAGAAAGTAGATAATCACATTATTTTTGTAATACAATCATTCTTTCTTCACATAAATATTGTTTACATGATTTCCCATACTTCAAATATTAAATATTATTGTTAATTTATTCACTCTATTGTAAGTTAAACTGCATTTAACTGCATTTTCTCATCCATACTTATGTTTATGGTAAATGTAAACACTTTCAATTTAAATTTGAGCTATATCATTTACTTAACACATTGTCTTAAATTAGCACGCTATTGTTTCCTCATCTTATTAATGCATTGTTGCACTTTTCTCATGTTTCGCACGTGCATTTCACATGTCAATCTCTTGCTATTTCAATATGCAATCGTTGCGAATACAGTGCATGAAATCATGCTCTTTCAATATGCAATTCATAAATGAATAACACTTTGAATGCAAATTCAAACACAAGTCTCACTGAAAGTCTCACAGAAGCGATAACATTACTGCCTAAATTGATAAAAAAATAAAATTCACGTATAGTTGGCGGTACATTCTATGTAATAAGCGTATACTTTCCACTTAGTCCGTTGCAACGGAAAACAAGTTTGCATAGAATGCAGCGCCAAATATATGTGAATTTTATTTTTTATCGTTTTAGGCAATAAATCTATGGTTTTCTTATGGCTTCTTTAAGTCTTATCCGATTTTTCGGTTTTTCGGTTAATTTATTCGATATTCATAAAATATGAAGTAATTAAACAATCGCTACTTAGTCTAAAGATACTTCCATTGCATAAATGTAATTAAGTGATGCTTCTTTCAGCGTGACAAAAAATGCATTGCAGCGTGAATGGTCTTAATTCAATTGCTGGTCACGTGCATGTTCACGTGCTTTATTTAAACCAGTGAATAGAATGACGCTAGCGATATATCGTGATACTAATGATAGTACGATATGAGTATCGTGCTATTGGTACATTTTAATTTTGTGACAACAAGAATTTTTTTCTCCAACGTGACTTTTTTTTCTTTTCAAATGTGGACATCTAAAATATCAAAATAGAACTCTATTTTTGAGTTCACACGCTGGAGAGAAAAATTTTTGCTGTCACAAAATTGAAATGTACCAATAGCATGCTATTCATATCGTACTATCAATAGTGTCACGATATATCACTAGCGTCATTCTATACACTGATTTAAACACATTTGTTAATTCATGCATCAAATATCTCAACTCACTGATTGCCCGCAATTTTCTTCTATCTAATCTAAGGCGGTGCTTTCGCTTTCTGAAGCATCACATTTAAGAAATACAATATTTGAATCGTGATTCAAACAGTTGCATTGCATCGGGTGCATGCTACATAAAAAATAATTCAATGTAACTTTATTTTGAGCGAAGTTTTTTTTTTCAGGTCAACTTACCATTCACCCATTTATCTGGGAGGCTTACAAAAAATGATTTTTTGTACTATCACACAAGCAGCTATATACAAGTACTGTTTTTTGTCCTACTTACTTGACACTATTCATGTCTGCATTCGTTTACTTCTCTGTAAAGAATAACTTACCTAAACTCATGTCTTGTAAATATTTTTTTATCGATGTGAAGTTTTACGGTTCGAAAAGAGAAAGGAAAGCCCCTTTCACATTGAGATAAATTCATTGAAACTTATCGAATGCCAAAGTGAAAGGAATTATCCAACGACAAGACAAATGCATGAATCAGCCGAAACATGTAAAGAGATATTTAAGGTGTACAGTAACTCAGACTCAAGCAAAAATATTCAACTTTAATGTTCAAATATATTAATGTTTATTCAATATGATTCATAATAATATCATATAATATTTTTGAGGTTTTTTTATTGTCAAAAGGATTTTAAAAAAATTGTAATGAATATTGCGCTTGCTTATGGAAAATGTGTACTTATTTTTATTTTTCCATTCTAATTCTAATTGGTAATACAAATTATCGAACTTATTTCGTATTGTTTTAAGAATTGTTGTTCAGTATTTCATGAAGAAGACCCTCGTTTCTCCTTATATTTTTGACTTCGCATATGGCTTTACTATTGACAGCATACCGATAAAGTTTTCCTAAATTCGGATCATTCTGTTAAACAATAAAAAAATAAATATTAATGGAATAGTGTTCAAAAGTAATCGTAAACGATCTAGATAAAATGCATACCAAAAATGTATTTGTCGAACCGATGAAGTAAACGGCCTTTCGCGCTAGAGTCATCAGCGATATAAAAGATGCAAAACGGTGGTGGTACTCATATTTCATGCTATCATTCACCCATATGATTACGATGTCTTTTTCGAAAAACCAATAGCTCTGAATAAAGTTCTGAATAGAGGAAAGTGTCACCTGTGATCGAAACATACTGCAAGCGAAAAAAAAAAACAGAATGAATTGATGTCAAATATAAACATTTAATGGACAAAAATGTACACATACTCTAATGCTTTTGCCACTGTTTCCGTGTTAACGTTTGCTGGTCGAATGATACCGTATCGAATATTTGACGGAGTTGCAGATGCCGAACGTAATTTTGGATATGTAATTTCAACCACTCGTTTCATCAACTGCACCAATTCATGTTCGTTTTCATTTTCATAGTGTAAGACGGCAAAACCTTTGAGTTGCGTAAATTGCTGGTCTCTATTGAAAAGCTCCAATCGCTTCTCGTAATACATTGTTTCATTCAGCATATGCAAGAGTAACTTTGAAAATCGATATGTGCGGTTCAAGTGTAAGACATAATACTTGGCATCAAGTAGCCTTTTGAACATAGACTGATTGGTGTTACTTTTGGGATATTTAGAGATCAGATCTCGCGAATCTTTCGGATTCCGATTTGAATCACCAAACATTACAAGTGACGACGGTGAAAATAAAAGTGGAACGGTCGAGTTCATTTCATCGCATTCCGATGCATTTTCAAATAAAATGACATCGATCTTATCGACATACCTGAAAAAAGAATGTTCATCTTGTTACGTACTTTCACATTTTATTTATATATACTTCTGCAGAAGTCGAATCGAAATACGAAAAAATGGGGTCAATACATGTAGTAATTGGCAATAATTGAAGTGAAAGTTTAAAATAAAATTTATACATACTTTTTCAATTGAATCAACATTTCGTTTGGTGCAAATATAATTTTGGCTGTCTGCAAAATTTCTTGGTATCTGTCAAAACATGGATTACTGGACCGATTTGCTAGATCTCTCGCTTGATATTGAGCAATATATTTTGAAACAAGCGAGTCCGGAACATTTCCGTAGCGAACAAATTTTAATTGCTCACGCATTTCTGTTAAAATTAGTTCGGACAAATTATAGAGACTTACCAGACTTATTTTGATTTATAAAAAAAGAGATAAAATAATAATGGAACTTACGACGTGTAATTTTGCCACTCTGCTTTTCGTCATTACGATACTTGTCAACCCAATAGCCAATTGCATCAACATCATCGTCTGTTGCACCAGTCACCAAAATTTTGAAGCCCTTCTTATTGAAATTTTCAGAGCGTACCAGCTCAATAAGTGTTTCAATGAGAAGTTTAGACTTGCCCGTCCCTGGGCCACCGTTAATGACCGTTGCAAACGCATTACCACCATTCAATGCTTCGATCGTATTGTTAACAATTTTCGAAAATGTATTATGTTGTTCCTCATTGAGTGGATAGATCTAATAGAACGTAATAATACGTAAAATGTAAGTGAACATTTCGAATTTTGAAGATGAATGTTTTTTTTAAAGAAAAACTTACACAATTTTGTGGGTTCAATTCAACACCGAATTGTAAACAATGCATTTCGCTAGGATTTATAATTTCTTCAAATAGGCTTGAATGACGTGCATTGAAGATTGTCTCGTACAATCTAATGCATTGGTTTACATTATGGTTGGCAATAATTCTTGCTCTTGATGGGATTCTAATGTCATCTTTGTTTCCCAAACCGACTTGAAGTTTGAAAGACACGAGGTTCTCTATTTGGCAGATTAAACGAAAGTTAAGAAACCACAGTTTATCTTGAATCTTAAGGATATCGGTGAATATATCAATAATAATCATCAAAAATAACTCACCTTTTTTATTTAAAATTTGGGTAATAACACCCAGAAATGTTCGACGCGCTGAGCTGCTGCTCACCGTGGCTTCAACAACCAACACTTCATTAACTTCGATTGATTTCACCCAATTTGTTTGGCCCGTACCTACATAGAACCAATGGTAATATGAATTCAAAAAATTTGATTGTATTTGAAACCGTTTAAATGAATATTACTATGATTATGCATTGCTAGACTTACATTGGCAATTAAAAATGAGCTGCTCAATTTTTCCACGAAAGTTAGTCTCAATGCTAGATATACGGAGAATATTACTATCGGCCGAAATATCTTTTAAGTAATGATTCAATTTATGCCAAGCGTTCACTTTTAGCACCCACTCTTGAACACTGTATATAATCGAAAGCATATTAGTACAGAACATTATTTATTTAATAAATATTTTTTAACAATAAATTATTTGGTTGGGTCGAATGGAAGATGAAATCTCGAAAGCATGTTTTTGATCAAAATTTGGAGACACGACTCAGAAAATTGATTGCGAATAATGTTTTTTAATATCATATAATAATGAGTAGGCTGACATGAGAGCGCGCGAGATTCCACGGCTGGTGGATAGTATATATTATATTTCTATAAAAACCTTACAAAATGTCTGTGTGGTACAATATATATAAATTTTTGATGTATATATATCAACAGGTGTATGAATCGACTAGAATATTCGTGACCTCAATAAATTTGTCAAAATAAAACTGCAACATGCTCATACATTTTTTATACGAACATGTTGCTCTTTTACTTTAACAAATTTCTTGGGTTCATGAATATTCTAACCGATTCATATATACAGTTTGCCGCATACAATGGAACAGAATAAAGCGATAGTTCACAAAATAACGGCAGACAATGTTTTTGTTTTTGAGTAGTCTCTATTCAGAGTTATGTTTTGTAATGCCATTTGCTGTTGCCACCAGCGCATACATATTTAAAAGAACAAAGGAATTGAGCAACAGAAGAAATGAAGGGACAAGGCCAAAAATGTTTTTGTTGTTTTTGAGAATTTATGACAGTAACAAAAAAAAGGGTCTGAGATAATTTCGACCGAAGCATCGACAAAAAAATCTTAAGTGCGCATGTTCAAATGAATTTGAATGCGTGTAATGGGAACAGGATGCACAAAGCAATAAAATCTAAAAACTCAAATTTTTTCGAAATTTGAGATAAGATGCAATTCAATCGTTCCGAAAGACCTTAAAAAGAGAATGACTAAAGCGATAAGAATTGTAAAGTAAAATGCCGACAATGCTGCGCTCTGTGATGATCTCAATTCAACCGAATTTATTACTTTTCCGCAAACCCACTGTGTGCAATAAAGTATTGCAATCACCCCAAAATTTTGAAATCGCTAAAAATCGTTTTTCTATGCGTTATGGGTATAGAGAAGCACAGAGCAACTGTTTTTTTGGCCATGTTAATATGGGGATGTGGTACACTGTACACTGTGCGAGGAATAGGCTGGTATTGTTTTTGAACGATATTCGTGCATCGGTGTATCGGTGCCACCATGATGGGTATCGTATGCAAAAATTTGTTAACTCGATAAATCTTTCCCCAGAGACGTAAATTAAAGTTTGAAATGTGAACTGGGTGGTTTTTTGGCACGGGAAAACCGATTCCGGTGTTAGTTTTGAGATACAATCAAGTTTTAACAGAGTTTTTTTGAAAAAATCACAAAAAATTGAATTTTTGTATGGGAGCCATGATTTTTGGCTGTCGTTATGACGTGAAACTTTGTACAGGCTATTTTTTATACAAAAAAATAACATTCTAAAAGTTTGAAGAAATTTCAATCAAAATTAAGGAAATTAAGTATTCGAAATTTTCGTATGGGAGGTACCTTCAATTTGTATTAAAATTGCCTCAAACTTCCGGAATGTTATTATTTGAAAGAAAACAGCCTGTAAAATTCTTCATATCATTACGATATATATCATAAAGGCATTGCGTCCATTCAAAAAAATCACATTTTTAGTGATTTTTTCTTTCCGTACAACACACACACGCTACACATTTTGAATTATTTATTAATTGGCCAAAAAAGCTGGAAAGGAGGAAATTTGAAAACAGTGCGGAAAAGTTAGACTTACGGATGTAAGTTCCTTTTTATTTTTAATTTGTAGCAAACTGTAGGCAACAAAAACAAAAGGTAACAAAATAGCAGTCATTTTATGAAATATCTGGAATATCAATTTATCCAATTCTATTGTATGGCTTCAGAGAGTAGAAATTGCCACCGTGGCGGCTAAAAACTCATTACCGCTTGTCACGCAATCTCATTTTCTAAATATATACTACAGTAGTTAGAAGAATACCCGTTTTAGAACGGGCTTTTTCTATCTACTCACTACTGTTGGTGTGACTCCTTGATACACACACACACAAGTCAATCGAATGGTAGTGTATATTCAGGAAATGAGATGGCGTGTGAAGCGGTAATGAGTTTTTTGCTCTTGCCGCCACCGTATGCTACCGCTTTGGTAATACTATATTAAAAGTGCCTATCAATAATTAGTTTTTGTACACATTTCGATTGCGTGACGACAACAATTTTCATGTGACTATCTGAATATAGACTATCCAAAATATTAAAATAGAAGTCTATATTCAGAGTTTTCCATTGGAGTAACAAATTGTTTTCGCTATAAAATTGAAATGTGTACAAATTGCAATTATTTATAGGCCGGTAGCGTTTTCTACTCTCTGTAATGGCTTTGCCGTATAATTGTCCGCCATATTACAACGTTAACAGTTGAAAGACTGTACTGAAACAAGTACAACGTTAGCATTGTGTGCAGTACTTGAGTTGCAATGTATCGGTGTAATTTTACTATGACACTTTAGTAAAAATATATACCAACGCAATGCAACTCGCTACTGCTCATTTTCAGGGCTTATCAACAGATAATATTATCAGCAATGATGGAATTATCAGAGTAATTTATCAGATAAATCGAAATGTTTCAGATTTTGTGACATCTAGAAACTAAAGCGAAACTGTCAATGTAGACTTCTATTTTGGTTGTCATTGGAAAATTTCGATTTCTCTGATTATTCTGATAATTCCATCATTGCTGATGAAGTTATCTATCGATATGCTCTCCTAACTTTCGCACAGGTTTCAGTATAATTCTACCAAACACATGAAAACGAAAGATTACGTGTACCAACTACGCTATGTATCTTGCATAGCGTGGTTGGTATGTGTGATTTTTCATTTTCATGTGTCTTGATTCTACATACAAAAAAATATACAATGAAAACCAGATGACATGCCACCTAAGATTCGGAACTAGTTGAAAATCCATCCAGAATTGTATTTATCCGTCTAATTTCATACCAAACATCGTTTTTGTGTATTCTCTTTTGTGCGGTTCTTCTTCGTTTATGTCTTGAAGAATATCCGCACAAAAGAGAATAAATAAAAACGATATGTTGTATGAAAATTAGATGGACAAATACAATTTTAGACGGATTTTCAACTAGTTCCGAATTTAGGTGGCATGTCATCTAGTTTTCATTGCATATTTTTCTGTTTGTGATACGGTTTACGCATAATATTTGCGTCAATTAAATTGACTGTTCTCAGCCAAATAATCATAATGCATGCAATATTTGAGATAGTAGCGATCGTTTTACAGTCTGTAAAATTTTATTGAATAAGTACTCCTCATTGGCCATCACATATGAAAGACGAGGATGTAAAACTCTGTTGATCAATATAATTATACGCGCTGTATATTCCACAACCTTTTTTCAATTTTATTTATTGGGTGTATCGATTAATTTTTTCCGTTTTTTGGGTGAAAATGTAAGTTTATTTTATAGAAGTCGTACAATATTTTTTAATCAACGAATTGCCCATCGTTAGCTTTGACTTCTAGCTATATTTCTGGTGACATGTCGATTCCGCGTCGAAAGAAGTCTTCTTCTTTTTAAACTATCCAGTCATCGACTCATTTTCACATTTTTTCAACATTTTGAATGCGTACATCGGCCAGGCTGATTTTGATCGATCGGAACAAGTGATAATCAGAAGGAGCAAGGGGTCCTCTATCTTTTTTTTTATCGATGTTTGAAATATATCAAATTTTGAAAAATCATTCGACTATTTTGTGTCGCAGTTTTTTGCCATTTTTCTCTCAGTACTCTGCTTAAACGTATTGGTTGTATTTGATACGAATTCTCCGTGACAGTTTTACCCAGTTTCAGCAGGTCATAATACACCACACCCCTTTAATCCCGTCATATACTGAGCACTACCGAGAAACCATGAAAATTCGGCAATTCTGTCTATTTTGATTATTGTGCGGGATTGAACCCTGACTTTTACGCCTGGGATTGCCGCAGCAGATGCCGTCTTCACTTACAGATAAAATACGATACAAAAATTCCTTCCTTTCGTATCTTTGGAGCAGTGTGTAAAACGTGAAGAAACGCCTTACGACGACTTTTGGCTTCAATTCGCGTGGCACCCAATTTCTTTGTCCTTGCCTCATCATCAATGACTTAAAACGACTGATTTATCTAAATATAATGCTTCTAGTGGTTTCTGATGCATTTTCATGCATCTTTATCGAATGAACAACGCCAATAGTCCATCATTCAACATTTTTGGTGAGTTCACAGTTTTTCAACAAATTCACCACTTGTTTTTCACCAAATTCAACTTTCTCTGTGGCAACTGAGAGGTCTCATCTCCCGCAAGTTTGCCCCCATTTTGAATCGGTTCAAAAATAATGACATTGTGTCGAAAATAAATCTTTCTGTTAGATTGGCAAATGTCACATGTACAAAATGCAATTGTATTCACCTGTCAAACTTCATAGAAGTTTAAGTGGCGATATCTAACAGTCAGCGGTAAAAATTAGTCGATACACCAAATAAGATTTCATGCATTACTGACGAAAGAGTTGGAAATAAGTTTGTTGTTCACCTTTCGTAGTTTTTGACGTCTGTGAAGGTTTTTTTTGGAACTAATTGAACGTTTGACTTAAAGAAGTCCTCCTTTCTGAATTTCGGATTCATAATTTTCGCCGCATCCCAGTTAATGATAATACCAATTATCTTGGCTGTGGGATCAACAAATTCGGGCTCATCTATATCCATTGGACTGTTCGATGGTGTCAGTAGCGAATCTAAACTATATTTGGGAGATTTTGGTTCGCATATCACTCGTGGTGGGCTTCTTGATTCACGTTTTTTCGCTTGTTTTTGTGGATTTTCGGATTGATCGATTGGATTGTTCACCTTCGGCGTATGGGCAATGCGATTGGGTTTTTTCGACAATACCAACGGTAATTTAGCTGCTTTTTTTTCTGGTTCACGTTCGGTCTTGGTATTCACAGTACTACATTTTATAAGCACCTGAATGAATAAATAAACACAGAAATACTGTTCAATATAGTTCAATACATATAAGATCAAGTTATAAAAAATACTATTTAAATAATTAAGTATTTATATTCAATGCGAATTTACTTTGTTATCTCCTTTTGGTGATCCGTCATTACGATTGGCTGCGATTGGAGATATTCCGGGCGTTGGTTCCTTCTTGATCGATGGTTCACCTATTTCATAGTCTTCAGCGAATTTTACGTGCTTTTTTATTCTTCCAACTTTGATTTTTTTCGAATCATCCTCATCATCAGAAATGATAATGACATCTTCTTCGGGATCTGGTTTGGAAACCACTTCCGGGTTTATTTCGTTCTGCCGAAGAATGAATGACAATTTATTGATCAACGGTCGATACATTTCTTCTATCACCGCTCGGTCGACCAATGTAATAATGTCACCAACTTCAAGTATGACTCCATTTGCCTTGATGTCGTTGACGAACGTGCCGAATCTCGACTACATGAAATTGAACCAACAATTCGTGTTAAAATCAAATGAAATTGACTTAAATTTCCATAATTATTTAATAGATTCAAACTAAAGTTAATTAATAATTTAATTATTGAAAGAAGCCATAAGAAAACTATAGATTTATTGCCTAAAACGATAAAAAATAAAATTCACATATAGTTGGCGCTGCATTCTATGCAAACTTATTTTCCGTTGCAACGGACTAAGTGGAAAGTATACACTTATTACCAGTCTATGTATTTCGGATGGATATCCATCCGAGATATTTTAGAATATCTGGATATTTAACGCAACTGCACAGAGCCAGAGCTGTGTGCGTCGCACATATAATCTACGGTATGTCACTACACGTAAAATACAGACACAGTGTGACTGTGGACGTGCGACAATTGATACACATATACGTCGCGACCAGAGCTGTCAACGAACGTTCGTTCGAAGGCAAAAATATTTTTATTTTGTTCGTTCGTTCGTTCGTAGAAATGAATTGCGTTCGTTCGTTCGTAGAAAATAAAATGTTCGGATTGTTCGTTCGTTGTTAGTAAGGTGTTCGTTCGTTCGTTCGTTCGATTGTTCGTTCGTTGTTCGTAGGAAAAGTATGAAAATAAAATAATTATTTTATTAGTGAAATCGAAAGTAGATTATATTTTGTGAATTTTGATATTGATAACATAAATTATAGGAAAAAATTGAACAAAACAAATATTATTTACTTAAAATAAACAACGTAATTGTCAATATAATAATTGAATTTGCATTGTTAAAAATCGATAAATTTATTACGATTTATAGAATTACTATTTTATTTTAAAAAATCTAAAAACATAAAATACAATAATAATATTAAATTATTCATAAGAATCAAACCAAATTTGCTGTTAGCAAGTAACATTAGTAATCGATTTTGTGATTTTTTTTTTCCAAAATAATAATTCAATAAATCATAATAAAATTATCGACTATAGAAAATATACATTCTTTTACCTATAGTTGGATAGAATTTTATTCTTGAATAGTTGGAAAAAGTCCTCAATTAGAATATTACAATAATAGTTGAAATTATTTGCTTCAACTCATTTTATTAGTTGTCATCGATATTACGGAACAGACTATTTTTCCAAATGTTCATGATTAAAATTAATTCTTTTCGAATTTTTTATTAAAAACTTATGCAACTCATACGTCCTTTAAAATGCAAATTTAATTACTATATTGATTATTACGCTGTTTATTTTAAATAAATAATATTTGTTTTGTTCAATTTTTTCTTATAATTTATGTTTTCAACACCAAAATTCACAAAATATAATCTACTTTCAATTTCACCAATAAAATAATTATTATAATTTATTTTCATACTTTTCCTACGAACAACGAACGAACAAACGAACGAACGAACGAACGAACACCTTACGAACAACGAACGAACAATCCGAACATTTTAATTTCTACGAACGAACGAACGAACTGGTCGCGACAGTAGATTCTATTTGCGACGCACACAGCTCTGGTGCTATGCAGTTGCGTTGAATATCCAGATATTCTAAAATATCTCGGATGGATATCCATCCGAAATACATAGACTGCTTATTACATATAATGTAGCGCCAACTATACGTGAATTTTATTTTTCTATCATTTTAGGCAGTAATCTAATCGCTTCTTTAATATCCTACACTGTAAAACCGATGGGATAAAAAATGAATATTTTCGAATTTTTCATATAAAAAAATCCCAACGGATTAGAAAAAATCCAAACGGATTAAAATTTAAATCAAAATAATCAAATCGAAACTATCACAAAAACCATGCGCATTGTCTAGCGAGCGCCAAAATTCATCATCTTACACTCTTCTCTGTTCTCTCAGAGAACATTCATACGACAAAACAACAACCGTTGTATGGCTACACTCAAACGGCAACTATATGAAAGTCAACTACTACACACGCATCACTTCTGCTAGCGAGTCAGTGGAAGCATGTTATATACGAACGACAACGTTGTTTGTGCTTGTAGTAATGGCCTTCTATGCTGCTGGCGTTGAGTTCAGCCATACAATTGTTGTTGTTCTTTCGTAATAGGAAATTCGTATCAAGTGAGAGAAAAGAGAAGAGTGTAAGATGATGTTTTTGGTGCTCGCTAGACTATGCGCGTGATTTTTGTGATAATCTCGATTTGATTATTTTGATTTAAAATCCTTTTGAATTTTTTTATATAAAAAATCCAAAAATATTAATTTTTAATCCCATCGGTTTTACAGTGTAGTATTAAACTATTTAAATTAATTTAACTTACGATATTCGAGAGTCGAACAGTTTCTTGATCTGTCGATAATTCAAGAGAGCAGTGCTGGTTAGAACAGTGCTGCCATTCTATTTTGGGAATATTTCGAATGTTGATCATATTCAAATCGTTTGCGTGATGATCGCGTCCAATCACAAATTTGCCCACGTTTAGATAAAATTTCTCACTTGTGGACACATTTTCGATGAACCAGCGATTCGACTTTCTAGGTCTCATTTTCTGCTATGATAGAATGAAAAAAAAAACAAACAAAAATAACAAAAATATAAACGTTTGAAATGGCTCAATACATTCAATGTAAACTCACCAAAGATCTTGGTTTCTGAGTTTAGTTTCAAGCTTCGGAAGCTCTTATTGAAGAAAATTTGCCTGCAAATGACGATCAAATTTAATTATAAAAATACGATCTTATATATTGCATTTTGAGTCTGTATATTTGGTATCAGAAAGTAATAGCTATTGAATTTGACTTTTTGTGTCCATGAATGTAAGTGCAAAAGCAAAACAAAAGCACAGAGTATTTATTTAAAAGAACAAAGGAATTGAGCAACAGAAGAAATGAAGGGCCAAGGTCAAAAATGTTTTTGTTGTTTTTGAGAATTTATGATAGTAATAAAAAAGAGTGTGAGATAATTTCGACCGAAGCATCGACAATAAAATCTTAAGTGCGCATGTTCAAATGAATTGAAACAGTGCATCACAAAGCAATAAAATCTAAAAACTCGAATGTTTGTGAAATTCGAGATAGGATGCAATTCAAACGTTCCGAAAGACCTTGAAAAGAGAATGATTAAAGTGATAAAAATTGTAAAGTGAAATGTAACAAAAATGAGTGAATATGCCGATAATGCTACGCTCTGTGATGATCTCACTTCAACCGAATTGATTTTTAATTTGTAACAAACTGTATGCCCACCTACGGATCACATGAATCGTATACAATTTTATTTAAAACCAAAATATATCATGTATGTTGATGGATTTGCACAGCAACAAAAGCAACAAAACGTTTTTTTATCTCAAAAAATGTAGATCGCTACAACATTGAAACAGATTTGAAATTTCAAACTTAAGTGATAAAATATTAATTCATAGAATATCGGATTGGAATGAGTTTTTTTTATTGTGCAAATATTCTTCGGTTACTATTTGTGCTGTCGTGAAATTTTGTGCTGATTGTGGTCAACTGCTCTTAATAAACACAGATGCCAAAAAATATAAAAAAAACAGTGTAGAATGTGTGTTTACATAAATCGAGCTGTTGTGTTAACTATGTGCGTATCATGCTGATGATTATTAATGTAAATTAAAACACCATGAATTGATTTAAATGTTGGTATCATTCACTGAAATGGTTAAGTATAATAAACACCATCAACGCTAAACTGGTTTCTTCATCCGTGAAAAATTATGTTGATTTTTGAAGGTGAATGAGTAACAAATAAGACATTTACATATCGCAATCGGAATTAAATCCATCAAACTTGTTAGTTTGACCATTTTCATTTAAAAAAAAAACAGCAACAACAAATAAATAAAAAAAACATAAATAATGTTAATCAGTTAATCGGTTAATCTTACTTCAAAATGTACGCATTAAAAATATGTGTAAATGTTGTCTGCGCGGAAGACATGTCTTAAGTTTTGTTAATCGTCAAGGAAAAAATGTTAATCGATTTTTATTGCGTGGTAAAATATGGAAATACGATTCACTCGAATGAATCAGTACTATGTTTGTATTCTTTTAAACATCGAGGTGGAAATCACCAAATATAAGCAAAAAAACTGTTAATAAAATGTTTAACTCCGGTTTTTTGTTGAATTGAAGCACGTATCAGTTAAGAAGATCTGGTTATGCACTATTATACGCTTCTTACTGGTCAGTAGATGTATAAATACGCGTGAACTGAATGTCATTGAACATCGACAGAGCTTTCAGAGTTAAAAATGCTTCAATGGGACTATAATAATATTTATTCACGGCCAAAACTGGCTGAACAGCTAATAACAGTCAACAATTTTACGTGAGCTTTTAGAAACAGTATTGTAAAATGAGACAATTTGATAAATTGAATCTGTTATTTATATATAAAGTGGTTACGTTTTGTGGTATGCATTTTGTGATATGCAATGAACACGGTCGATATCTACTGCCCCGAAGTCGAATTGCTTACGCGATCGGGTAGTGTTTCATTACAAATATTATTGTAAAATATAAAATGTAATTGAGATACATTCAGTCGGTAAAATAAATAATTAAATTACATTGGCAATGACAAGGACTACTGTGATTGCATTAAAAATCTTACAGTTGCATAGCTTATTGTCTCTGACGAATCATCTATAAACTTGATCGACAACGCCTGATTGTTCTTTCATGTATTGTAAATAATTTTCGCAGTTTGTGACTACCGATGTAACACCAAATAAACAAAAATGTTTAATGAGCTTAATGAAAATACGAAGTGATACGAGTCTTATCATGAGACATATAATGGCAATGATTTGTATTTTAAAGAGTGAGAATTCTTATCAAATTACGTAAGTTTTTGGGAATTAATAATCTCAATGCAAAAATCGACGTTATTTATTTTTTTAAAAGGCTACTGTCAATGATGAGATCACTTTTGGAATGCAAACGAAGAAAGGCAAATAACATTTGTTGACTTCTATCGTTCAAATCATTGCGCTACCGTAAAATTACCAGCCGATTCAACATTAGCTAACATTATATCTATTGAAAATATCGAGAGGAGAGTATGTTTTTATTCAGCCATAAGCGCTGAATAGCACACTCTCTTCTCAATATATTCAATAGATATGTGATAATTTCATTTGCGGGATTTTGAAACTATTTCATTGTGCGAAAGATTTTTTCGATACGTTTTTGAGCTACGACGGCTCGAATACAGAAAATTGTTCAATAAATGAAAAAATAAACAGTGGGAATGATAACAGAAACATACTCAGCAAAATTTTGAATTAATTTGATTAAATTAGCTTACTAGAAAAGTGGCCTTCTGCGAAAGGTGGCCTTTTTTTGTTGGCAACAAAAATGTAAAAGTGACAATAATATGAATATATTATTTGTGAAATGAAAAAAAAAATTAAAATAATTCCTAAATATGGAAGAAAACGCGCAGTTTCAACAAAAATGATGGCACATAATTTAAAATGTTTCCCGAAACTCACATTCGAAAATGTTTCACATTCGAAAGTTCTGGGAAAAGTGAAGAAAAAATTTCACAGCTCAAAAAAATGTGTTCCGTCGAAAAAAAAAAATCAGAAGACATGATTTCGTATAAAAAACCAATTTAAAAAATGCATGAATTCTTCAGAAAATTTAGAAATAATGAACGAATTTTGGTGTAGGCAAAAAAATTCTAAGTCGAAAAACTCGAATTAAATCAACTATGCTTGAGCGAAAAATTCACTTACTCGAAAAAATCTTTAAAGTCTTTTTTATGACGATTTTTTTCAAAGTGTTTTAAACTTGAGAAAATGTCTGAAAAATTTTCTAAGTCTTTACTTTCATCATTCGACAATCTGTTCCTTTTCTTTCAATTTTTTCAGTGAAAAGAAGCAAAAAAAATGTCGAAAATATGATCGTTCAAAAATGATTGCACTTAATTTAAAATGTTTCCCGAAATACGAGTGAAAAAAATATTTCTAAGTGCGGAGAAAAGTGAAGAAAAAAGATCACGGCATAAGAAAATTTGTTCAATCCCGTCGGAAAAAAAATCAGAAGACTCATAAAATCGTATGATCTCGTATAAAAAACCAATTTTAAAATGCATGAATTCTTCGGAAAATTTAGAAATAATGAACGAATTTTGGTGCCGGCAAAAAAATTCTAAGTCCAAAAGCTCAAATCAAATCAACTATGTTTGAGCGAAAAATTCACTTACTCGAAAAAATATTTGAAGTCTTTTTTACTATGATTTTTTTTTTCAAAGTGTTTTAAACTTGAGAAAATATCTGTAAATTTTTCTAAGTCTTAAACAAAATTAAATATTTAAAAGAATTTTACGATCACTTGTTCACTTTTGTGGCTCTTCCGATTCACTTGACTGTTTCACAATAACTGACTACTCTCCTGAATATACACGGGCTTTTTATAGTAAAAAGGACCACTAATACATACAAAAAATGACTGACAACAAAGTACATAACATGTATTTATATGGACAATTGGACATGCAACATAGGACTGGCTTATAAACGGTATATGGATCTATAAACATAAAAAACGAACAACAATATGAATAAGAAAAAAACAGTCCAATGAGTAATTTTATATTGTGCATGTCAGTGCATGTTTTTAATATCGTGAAGTCATCATTAAAGTAATTAATTTATCGCGCAAAAACGCATACCACACGCAAATCGTACCACATTTTATTTATTGATTTCACAACGGAATCCTGCGATTGCAATATTTTCGAAGTGTTATTATAACCATATTTTCTGACACATTTTCAAAAAAACACGTACGATCGCCCGATATATGACCTCAGTTGTTTGTACAAAAATTGTTTATTTTGCATTTTTTTTTATTTTATTTTTCTTATAAAAAAATTGGAGCAGTTATTTATTGGACATGCATTTGTCACATTTAAATTTACTGATCGAATTTCACAATATTATTCAAAATCACAAAATACGTTGCCCCGTAATCAATTGTATTTTTTGTTTTTGCTTACATTGCTAATATTTAAAAAACAAAGTTTGCTTACATTTTCTGTTGAATAAAACACCGGTGTAATTCACGTAATTATCGGCTCATATTTATATGGGAAACGTGTTTTTTTAGTCAGGTGCAACTTTGTATGTTGTATGATATGCTTTTCCATGTAAGATCACAGATTTATTCGATGTGAACGTGACGAGTGGTAGAGCAAGACTGATGTGAATTCGATAAAAACTTCTATTGTGTTGGTATATGAATAAAAGCTGTGTCTTGTTTTTTCGAAATTCAAGCTAAGTCGGCTAGTACTCTATAAATCTTACAGATGGAGTGGTTCAAGTAATCGAAGTTAATGTTGTGACTTACTTTTTCTTATTTTGTTTTTAAATTTGTATCTTTGCTTTATACCACCTGATATTTGCGCCATACAAAAAATATTGGTTGGTTTTGCAAGATAAAATATGCATATGCAGTAAGAATTCAAGTTAATTTTCCAAATTGATTCGGATTGACTCGATATTGTGTCAAAATAAAAATGCTCAAATATGTCCTTTTGTTTAAATTTCGTTTTTTATTATTTATTTTGTTGTTGTTGTTGCTTATGATTTCTATTTACAAACATCTAATAAAATGAATTTTTTTGTCACATTGTTGCATTACAAAAAAATTGGATTTTTCTAATATTGTTTTACAGCATTCCATATC